CCTCTGTAGCCACTTTAGGCACAAGGAATGTATTATAGAGCCTTCATAGTTCACAGATCACTGAAGGGCTGAAACCTAACTTCCAGTAGGACTTCCCAAACCACACCCCAGAACTTACCACTGAGGAAACCCACAGCCTTAGCCGCTGGCTCCTGGGCCACTTCAGCTCCTCAAACTAAGCACCATCTTCATGCCCTACTCAACAGCCCACATCATTCAATTCCAAATCAAAATCCTGATGAGTTCAGCTAGCTGCCAGAAACTGAATTTATGTAGATCTCCATCTGCCAAGGATCCTGGGAAATGTAGTTTTAGTTTCCAGCCTGGACAGCAACAGGAATGTTCATGGAGTTGGAGATGGCACTGAGTAACCAATTCCCCAATGTTGGTGAGCAGTTGCTGCATACTTATTGTCTAATATTCCGGATACAACAACAAATATCCCACAGACTGGGAACCAGCAGTTAGCGTAATGGCTATGTCGCTGGACTCCCACATAGTTGACCGCGGTTCGTGTCCCGGACCCAGTGGCTTAAAACTCACGCCAGGCGCATGTGCGTGCGTGCCCAAGATCCCGAGAGGAGAATGGAGGAGAAGGGATTGCGGTGTGACCATTCCCCCTGGGGGGTGATTTCTCGCTTTCTGTCTCTATGTCTCTGTCTGTCTGGCGAGTGCACGTGCCCTATAGCGAAAACCTCTCAAAAAAAAAAAAAATCCCACAGACTGGTTAGCTTGCAAACAATAAAAATGTGGGACCAACAGATAGCAGAATGGTTATGTTGCTGGACTCCCATGCAGTCGACCACAGTTGGAGTTCCAGACCTGGTGGCTTAAAACACACTGGGCACATGTGCGTGCGTGCCCAAAATGCTGAGAGGGGAATGGAGAAGGGATTTTGGCATGGCCATCCTCCCTGGGGGTGATTTTTTTCTTGCTCTCTGTCTCTGTCTCTCCAGAGAATGTATGTGTCCTATAGAAAAAAATTCTCTTACAAAAAAAAAAAAAAAAAAACAGCAACAATAAAAATAAAAATTATTTATTTCTCACAGTTCTGAAGGACTGTGAAGTCCAAGACCAAGGTACTGGCATAATCGGTGTTTGATGAAGGTATGGTTCCTGGTCCACGGATGGTGCCTTCTCATTTTTCTTTACAAGCTGAAAGGGCCAGGGACTTGTTTGTTTATAAGGCTGCTAATCCCATTTTACGAGGGCTCTGCTGTCATGACCTAATCACTTCTCAAAAGGCCCCCACCTCTCGATAGCATGGCCTTCGGGGTTAGGATTTCAACATACAAATTTCGGGTGATGCAAACATTCAAACCATAGCACTTACAGGATGTGTCAAGGTCTGATCCTCCAGAGCAGAATTTCACTTGGATCTATCAGCATGACAGCCACCTTTAGGGATGTGTGCTTTATTGAGAAGGTTCTAGAAGTCAGGGTTATGACACAGGCACCCGCTTCTGAGGGCATGACACATCTTGTAAAGAGAGCTTTCTACCCGGGGCCACAACAGTAACCACACACAGACTGTAGTGGACATCTGTTATATTTGTAGCTTCTCATCAGCTTTGAGTAGCTCTTCCATATTTGGGTATATTTGCACATTTTAAGTCCCATTTCTTCAGTATTAAAGTCAGAATTCAAACTTCCAGGTGTCTTTGCCACTAGGATTCGGACATATAATCTGAGCTCTGACGATCTGATGCCTCCCTTGAGATCTGACTCAGAAGTAAGCAGCATGAGGAAGCAGGAGGTGCACAGAGCAGCCGTTTTTGCTGTCATGGGCAGCAGTAGAGGCCTCAGCTTTCAGAGGGGTGGCAAGGTCTGGTCTCTGGTTCAGAAGTGGTGTCACTGCTGGTGGCAGGAGTGGCTGCCATGAAGTCAAGTCCATGAGGTCTAGTGCTCATAGCAAGCAGCCACAGTGGGACCAGTTTCCCTCCTTGAGCTGGTCCGATAGCACTTTAAGGCATCATTCCGGGAAACTTTACCTCTAATCTATTTCCTGGTGCTCCAAATGATCATTTACCTTTCAATATTCTTAAATAAATTTTATCTGCCTCAGTCAGCCACTGTGGCTTCTACTGTCAGCCACCAACAACCCACTTGACGTGCTGGGGAATGCCTGCCTTCCAATCCACTGCCTCTCCACCAGGCTGCAGTGTGGGCTATTCCTCATCAGTGCTGGCCTGAACCTCCTCCCCTACTTCCTTCTTGAGCCAGGCACAAAGAAAGGTGGAAGGAAAGTACCCATCCCTCTGACTCCCACCATCCCAGGATCCTATCAAATGAGAATACTCTTCTTCATTGAATTCTTACCAGCAATCTGTGCAGGATTTAGCACAGAGTAAGTACTCAGAGAACGTCTGATGAATGAATAAGTGGTCAAGTACACTATAAATTTAGACTGACATAGATCCATAATCCAGCAGGTGGCGTGGTGGTTAAAGCACTGAACTTACACATGATCAACTACGATTCAAGTCCTGGACCTGACAACACTAAAATCATGCTGGACATGTGTGTGTGTGTGTGTGTGTGTGCACCCAAAATCCCTGGAAGTGAATGAAGAAGAAGGGATACAGCATGGCCATCCTCCCTTGGAGGATGATTTCTCACTTTCCCTTTCTCTGTCTCTCTTCAGTGAATACATGCACCTAACTGCAAAAAAAAAAAAAAAAAAAAAAAAAAAAAAAAAAAAGCAATACACACACAAGAAAAATAAAATCCCCAAGTGAACGCTCCTTGGATCACCAGTGTGCAGTGTCTACACAGGTCTATGGAATCAAAATAAGGGCCCTTAGAAAACTTCTAATCTGGTGGCTTCATTCTGAGCATGAAGAGACTGAAGACCAGGGAGATGAGAGCCAATCTAATTAGCATAAGAGCTAAGGGTAAGCGTTAAGTTTTCTGACACCCACTGGAATGCACCATCTCTTAGCTCTTAGCTTTAGGTGCCAGGAAATACATGCTGGTTGGGTTTGATTTGAGAAAGGAAGGGTCCCCTCTTCCTTTCTCATGCAGCCTGCACCTGTCAGAATTTCCGAGCCTCCTTTTGCCAACACTGGGAATCGCTAGTGAGAAATTGGAATGGGCTGAGATGGGAAGTCAGGAACCCCTCTGGCTTCTATTTACAACTCCAGGAAACCTAAAACTTCTCTTTTCCTATATGCCATAAGGTACAAGCAGTCACCAGAAAGAGACAGAAAGTGGGGGAGCGGAATAAAGGAAGTGAGCAAGCACCCTCCAGGGGGGGTGGCCACTCTGTAATCCCTGCTCCTTTTTTTTTTTTTTTTTTTCAGGACTTCAGGCATACACTCACATATGCCCAATGTATTGTTGAAGCCACCAGGTCTGGGACTCGATCCACACAACTGACCTTAATCACCATGACACCAGCTGGCCTGAGACTTGAAACTCTTAAAATGATCCATTCCATGGAAGGAACACAAAGATGCCTTGTTGGCTTAAGAGGGAGGAAGAAACCCTAAGAGGGAAAACAGTGCTGGACTCTGAAGGGAAAAGATGCTCTTCCTGGTCAAATCTGAGCGCAGGCACCAAGACTGAGTGACTGGCAGCCCCTGGTGGGCTGGGTAGCCTGAGTGGGTCTGGGGGAAGACAGCAGCATAGAAGGGTCTAACGCTGAGGCTCGCTTCTAATGGAAAGAGAAATGAACTTTCCCGATCCAGCATGCTGGACCAAGACCACGTCCACGCTGGAAGCACAGTTTACAAAACGCTTCTCTCCAACCCATCCCAAGAGGTACAATTTTACCAAATAAAACCATTCATCCCCACATCCAAATTTACCAATCCAAGCAAAATGCATTTAATATAACAAAGAAAGGCAATGTTCATATTTTATTATACAATATTGTTCATAGAAAACCCGTTAATATTTTTTTAAATTAAGTACAGAAGCAAATTGTTATTGTTGCCAAAGAGATTGTTTGCCTGCCCTCGAACAAATTAACACCACCTGTTTGCAAACAAAAGCATTGCCACTGGGTCACCAGGAAAGTCGTGATGTATTTTTCTACGCTTTTCTATGCAGAAATGTGTCATGACTTTCCTGACGACCCAACAGAACTGAGTCAAGCCTTTGTTCTCTTTTCAGGACGCAGTCTAATCCTCTCTTTTGAAGACAGTATCTAACACACAGTAGGTGCTGAGGAAACGTTTGTTGACTGAACAGGAGTGCTCTTAATCCCTATCCTTTATTTCCTGACCCTATACCAGAGCTTGATCTACCAAGAAAACATCCCCACCCCTGTATTCCTCGGGTAGCTTAGTCTCTTTCAATAGCCTTTGATATATAACATTGCCTGAGGGGAAGGTGTGAGGGTTTCTGGAGAGAGAAAGGCAGGAAGACAGGACACAGTAACTAGGCACAAACAAAAGATGCTAAGACATTGAGAAATACTACACACAGATTCAGCATCGGAGACCCTGCAGGAGATGATGACAGAGACATGAAGTCAGAGACGCTTCGAATAGTTGGAGATACAGAAGTAAAAAGTTTAGGCAAGGGACCAGCAGTTAGCATAATGGCTATATTGCTGGACTCCTATGTAGCCGACCGCGGTTCGAGTCCCGGGCCCAGTGGCTTAAACTCACACCGGGCACGTTTACGTGTGTGCCCAAGATCCCAAGAGGAGAATGGAGGAGAAGAGATTGTGGTGTGGCCTTTCCCCTTGGGGGGTGATTTCTCGCTTTCTATCTCTCTGTCTCTCTCTCTCTGTCTCTCTGGTGAGCACACACACACACCCTATAGCAAAAACCTCTCAAAAAAAAAGTTTGGGCAAGAACATAATTCTGGAATTTCTTCTCAGCTTCAACGTTTTGTGGTAAAGGTAATGCAGAGAAGTGGAAACACAAGGCATGAAACAGGAGGATGAAGAGATGTTGGAAAGTGCCCGAGAGAGGTGGACAGCCAATTGTGACTGCGGGTCTCCAGGCCTGGCCAGCAACCCTCAGCTCCTCCTGCCCTCACCCCACACCCACCAGACTGGTTCCTAAATGCTCACTTCTTGCTTCTTGCCTAAGTTTCCCTCTCCTGCTACCCCATCTAAAGATCTCTCTACCACTCTGCAAGTCCTCTTTCCCACCGGCCTCTGGGAGGCCTTCTCCGTGCTCCAGCCCACACGCAGCTCCCGCCGTTTCCAGCTGCTAAAGCACCTGCAGTTCCTTCTCCCCGCACGCCCTAACTGCAAGGCATGCTCCATTGCAGAATTTGCCCTCGGCTTATCTGAGCGCATCTGGACTCCCACAAGAAAACTGTGTACTTGCCAAGGCTCCAGATCCTGCTTTATAGATTCCAGTATGCCCCACCGTACCAGTGCGGTGATGGGCTGTACTAAGTGCTCAGTGAATACTTGTGGACTGACCAGTCCCCAAGGAATGGCTCTGAGTGACAGTCCATTGGTCTATTAAATAGCTTCCCGGAGGCTGACCGTGCTGTGGCCATCTCCTGGGCTCCCGCGCCCCCTGCCGGTCAGAAGGGGACCTGCACGCAGGACAAAGTTCGCGGCCGAGATGGAGGTGCTGATCAAAGAGGCTGGCGAGGATACTCTGGACTTACCGGTGGCCCAGAGCACTGGCCAAGGGCTCTAAGAGGGTGGTGGGCGCAGCCAGGAACAGCTGCTATGTTCTCCTTGGGCGTAGAGGCACATGCACCTCCTCATGGCCGAAGTGCTGCCTCCTCGTGGCCGAAGTGCTGCTGCCGGCATGCGTCCTGCACCACCCCAGGGTGCTCAGAGCTTCTCGTCCAGCTCCAGGCCCTGGTTATCCCAGGCGCCCCCGCGCAGGAGGGCTGGGCTGCTGCCGCTGTGCGTCCCGCTCAGGTAGCTCTGGATCGCGGAGGCACAATCCAGCCGCTCCATGACGGTCATGAGGTAGTGCAGCTCCTGCAGGCTGCCATTCTGCTCCTCAAACAGCTCCAGGATGGCGGCTGCGGGGCTGCGCTGGCAGGACAGGAACCTGGCGGAGGATGCAGGAGGAGGGAGGGGCACAGAGGGGTCCACTGAGCTCGCACTGCCCTAATCCCTCCCCTTAGCTCCAGCCCTCGTCCTGTTTCTGTCTGCCTGCAGAGGACTTGAGTGGCCTGCAGCCCCAGGATTTTAAATCTGAGAGTGTCGGGACTAGCAGATGCCATAATGGTTATGTGGCTGGACTCCCACGTAGTCGACCACCGTTCAAGTCCTGGGTCCGGCAGCTTAAAACACATAGTGGTTATGTGGCTGGACTCCCATGTAGTCGACGACCGTTCAAGTCCTGGGTCCGGCAGCTTTAAACACATAAGGCAGTGTGCACATGTGTCCAAAATCCCAGGAGGAGAATAGAGACGAGATTGTGGCATGGCCAACCCCCCTTGGAAGGTGATTTCTCCCTTTCTGTCTCTCTGTCTCTCCAGCAAGTGTGTGTGCCCTATACAAAAAACCTCTCTCTAAAACAAACAAACCTGAGAGCCTCTGGTTTAGGGGCTACGCCTGCTGGCCCTAGTCTCTAGGTCTCAGTTCCCTCTTATCAAACTGAGGGCCTGGACGAGAGGACAGGTCGGATTACGTCCACCTCCAAGGTTCTGTCCTTACCTTCCTACCTATGCTGCTCAATCGTTCCGACTCGCCGGACTCGTAACTGACTCCCTCCTCTCCCAGGCCAGAAAGTCCTGCCCACCTTGCAGGAAACAGTCTAAATCACGGCTTTGACCACAACCCTCTCTTGCTCAAAACCCTTCTAGATTTTCTCCTGCTAACCAAGGCCGCCATGTTCCTGACTTTCTGGCTCATCCACTACCTGGTCTTGCCCTGCCTTTCTGACGTTGTCTCTCCCTGCCACCCTGTACCTCCCATTCTCAGACCTGTCCCTGTCCCAACTTGCACACAACGCACCCACAGCCACCTCGCTGTTTCCCCATGGCGTGGCTGAGCTCGTCTTCTCCATCTCCTCCTCCCTGAGGCCCTTTCTAATTCTCACCTCCCAGGAGGAAGAGACCATTCAGCATCCCTCCCTTCAAAGTTCTGGTTATAGCTGCCACAAAAATCCTTATTATTTATGCATCAGCTATTTGATGTCCTCTTTCCAGGGTGCTATGCAGTACTAGACACATCTAAAAAGGCAAATGGGACGCATGCCCATGTTTGTTGTGTTCTGTTTCTTTTTTGGTTTTACTATAGGGCATGTGCGCTTACTAGAGAGAAACAGAGAGAGGGAAAGTGAGAAATCACCCCCAGCCCCAGGAGGGTGATTGGTCACACTGCAATCCCTTCTCCATTCTTCTCTTGGGATTATTGGCATGCATGCAAATATGCTGGTGTTTTTCCAAGCTGCTGAGGCCAAGATTTGAACTGTGTAGTCAGCCATGGGAGATCCAGCCACTTTAACCACCATGGAACCTAGCTGGCCCTGTGCCTGAATTTTGTGAGTTCTCTGTCCCTTTACCAAAGTCATGAGCTCCCTGGGGCAGGAACACCTCTCATTCATCCTGTACCCCAGTACTTAGCAGTTTCCAGGACATCATCCAGTACTTGATACATGCTTAAATAAATGGCTGGGTATAAAATCCACCCTGTCATCAGGGCCCAGATCTAGCCCCTTCTCCTGGGTAAAATCTTCCCTGACTGCTGCACTCACAGGTTGGGCCCTGGGGCTTTATTCAGAATTGCTCTCCTACTGGTGTCTGTGAGTTCCTTGACAGGACTGTGGTTGTACTGCCACCATTACTGCTAACATGCATTGAGTGAGCATGTGCCAGGTGCCCAGCGACATGCTTTATACACACTATCCTATAATCTGCCACTGTACTCATCAGAGCACGGCACGCAGGCACACTCCACGTGTCCACGGACTCGCAGGCTCATTCATTCATCGTTCACTATTCATTGAGCACCTGCTATGAACCAGGCGCCGTTCTAGGTACACTGTGAGAACACAGTGGTAAGTGGAGAGAGCTGCCCTTGTTTACAAGGACTAGGGTGAGGAGTAGCCATTCTCTGACTTGTATATCCCCCTTTACCCCAGTACTCTCTCCCACCCGCCTCCCATCCACAGACCTCACCCCCTTCTCACCGGATTTTCATGCCGCAGAGCCCCAGGTGAGAAGCCAGGCGGCGCCAGTCATTGCCCGTGACGCTGTTGGGCTCCAGCAACATCTGCAGCTGCTCAAAGAGCTCTGGGGGCAGCCTGAGGCAGCAAAGGATGTTCATGGAGGAAGGGTCACAGAGACACCATCTGGTTCTCCTCCACGTACCCCCCAAAGGTGGTACTGGCCCTGTAGGGACCAGGCAGGAATCCCCAACATCCCCGGGCAGCAGCCTGAGCAACTCCCACCTCACCTATTGCATGGGGGCGGCTGGGCCACAGGGGGTGGTGCTGCCCAGGATTCCTCCTCTGAGGCCTGGAATCGAAGAATTTCCATGTACTTGGTCTCCAAGCCCTGAATCAACAGAGGGGCAGGAAACACACAGAAGAGTCATAAGACCCTCTGAGTAAGGAGCTGGGTGTCTGCCTGCCTTCCTCACATCTCTCCTTCAGCCTGTCACCCAGAGCCACTTTACCAGGAGACACAACCCCACTCCCAGCCTCTCTGCTGGCTGCTTTCCTGCCCACTGAGCTCTTTAGGAACTGGGACATGACGACCAAACAGGGTGCATCCTCGGCCACCAGAAATCCTGGGTGAGGTCATGGGGCAGTGGGAGGTCATCTAGTAACAGAGACACTGAACTCAGGCATCACCTGCCCCTTTCCTCCATTCCCACTTTCTCTGGTGACAGCCTGAGGGTATCTGCCCACCCTCCACTACGATGTCACTGTGGTTCTCCAAAGACTCTCAGCCCTGATTTCTACCTATCTTCCCATGGTGTGAGGGGAAGAGGGAGATGTCTAACTCCCATCACATCTACCCAAGACTCCCTTCCCGGTCACTCTCCTCTCAGCAGCAGACAATCAGCCTAGATGGAAGCCATGTCTCCTTGATGCCCCAGGCTGCCTGAGTTGGAAGAAGGGGTTAATTTGGGGTTGAGTTCTTTTTAACCTCCTGCTAGATCTATCCACTGATAGATAAGGGACAAGGACAGAGGCAACTTGGAGGCTAGATGGTCCAAGTTCCTCAAGAGCTGTCACGGCTGCTCCGTGAAAAATGCCACCCTCACTCCCTTGACTGTGTGACGGGGCTCATACCTACTGGACACCAGAGCTCCCATGCAATCTTCCCAGGATCCCCCAGGCCCTGTCCTCCTTCTGCCCCTCAGCTCCAACTCACATCTTGGTAGGTATGCATGGTGACGATGATCTCATTGACTGGTGCCGAGCAGTCTTCATTCTCATTGGCTGTAAGGAGAAGGCCATGGGACCAGCAGTTGGCATAATGGCTATGTCGTTGGACTCCCATGTAGTCAACCACGGTTTGAGTCCCGGACCCAGTGGCTTAAACTCACGGCGGGCGCATGTGCGTGCGTGCCCAAGATCCCAAGAAGAGAATGGAGGAGAAGGGATTGCGGCGTGGCCATCCCCCTGGGGGGTGATTTCTCGCTTTTTGTCTCTCTCTCTGTCTTTCTGGCGAGTGCACATGCCCTATACCAAAAACCTTTCCAAAAAAATAAGAGAGAGAGAGAAAAGGCCAGAATGGGGCAGGTGAGAGAGGAAAGGGCCTGGGCTGAGACCAGCAGTCAGAGGGTGCTACAGCCAGACGTCAGGGCCCTGCAAAACTGGCACAGGACACTGTTGTCTCCTCTCCCAACATCTAGAGTAGATCCTCACCTCTAAGACAAGGTCTCTGTGCATGGCTGAGGGGGCTGCAGAGCGCCACGGGTACTGGGCGGAAGAGGAGTAGAGAGCACAAGAGATGGACACGGGGCTCCTAGACTACCTGCTTTTCTCCGGAAGCAGAAGGAACGGAAGGGACACTTCCCATGCCAGATGTGGAGATGGGGAACCAGCTGGCAACTGCTGTCATCCACATTCTCCCAACCTGGGGGGGGCAGAGAGCAGAAGACCTCAGAGTGCAAGGCCTCCCACAGGTATCTCCACAGGTTGTGGGAGGCCTGAGGGCAGAGACAAAGCAGGAGTGTCTCCAATGGATGGGAATCCCCTCAGCCTGAGGCCGGGCCTGGCATCTATACCACACACTCCCTGCCAGCCCCCCACACGACCCCCAGAAGCAGCTCCACACATGTGCCCTGCCCACAACCACACAAACGCAGTGGGCCCCATGGGCAATGCTAGCAGCCCAAGCCACAAAGGAAAGAGGGCACGGGTAGCCACTGGGACCTGCTCCATCCAGGGGACGATAAAAACCTCCCTCCCAACACCTGCCCTCCCCTCACACCCTGTCCTGGCAGGGGCCCTCAGGGGTTGGGTGGGCAGTAGCAGAAGGAACCAGAAAAGGCCTGAGGTTCCAGGAGGCAGCAACAATAGCCAGGGATCTCTCTCAGGCTGCTGCTGCTGGCCCAGAAGTCCCGGAAAGAAATGACGCTCCCAGATTTCAGGCAAAGGGGGAGGCCTTGAACCCTTCTTTTTCATGGGCTCCCCACTCTCCAGACCCCAGATCCCACCTGCCTCACCCTCAGAGATGTAGGTGAGCTTCAGGCACTGGTCCCCTCTGGCCCCTGTGAAGTCGAAGAGCTGGCAGGGCCCACACAGGCGTCCGCCATGGGGCTGCTCGTTGGTCACAGCCCACCGCAGGGCGCACGGCGTGTTGTTGAGGAAGTAGACGCGCAGCTGCAGGTGGGACTGCCCTGGCACCAGCGGCGAGCAGAACACCGCCAACTGCAGCCCCTTGCGGGCTTCC